GTAGTTAAGCACAGGAGTCACCATGCTTCACTGTTCAAGAACAAGGGCTTATTTAAAAAGAAGAGGGGAAAAAAAGAAAAAAATCCACAAACCAACCCTGTTTTTGTGCTGTTCAGCCTGAGTCGGAAGTTTTATTAAAGATTTCTATTCGGCAGAACCATCTAATAAATCTTACTGGTTAACAGTCAGAGGAGGAAGAAAATGCTTTTCTGGTGTCTGTTGGGAATTGCTGGTACTAAATTAGCTGCTCTAGAATTATTGCTGGCACCATCACGCTGCTGCTGTTGCCCCGTGGAGGCTCTCTGTAGCACATGCCTGTTTGCACGCCGCCTGCATCCTAAGCAAGCAGAATAAGGAATTTTTAATTGTGCACAGAAATGCATTCAGTATTCTCTTTGCTTGTGGAAAAATAAATGCCTGAAGGGCATGGTGGGAAGGGAGAGTGCCTGCTTGCAAAGGCAGGACTTGTCTGTGCTGGAGGGGAGGGATGTCTTTGCAAGTCTTTCTGGAGGGAGGTGTCCAGCAGAGCAAGGTGTGATCATCTCAGCTCTTCATCCCCATCGGCTGCTGCTTGCCGTCACCGCCTCCAAAGATCCCGCAAACTTGGAGCTGCCAAACCGAGACGGGGTCCATGCGGCAAACAGGACACACTTACCTGATGTTTGGGAAATGTCAAATATTTCCCTCATGCTCACACGTGGCATGGAAGATGTTCAAGACCTGCGTGTGAACTCTCAGTGAATTTTACAACACTTCAGGCATATTATTGCTCTTTGCCCACTTGGCACCATCCCTCAAAGGGTTAATTCTAGGTCAACACGTATTTCTTATTGACTTCCGTCAGGCCAGGCTTAATCTGAAAATGATGCTCAATTTGCTCTTCTGTTGATTGTGAGCTGGAGACCCGAACCATTTATTTTTCATTTTTCATTAAAAATAATTTAACTTGATCTTAAAACCATTTGAACGGACCTTTAACTTTTCACATGTGGGGAATGTCACACACATTTCTTTTCCCCGTGCTTGGAGCCATCATGCTCCCTAGTCACTAACATGTAGAAACAGTGCAGATGATAAAAATAAAAGTGATGCGGTCAAGATTTTTCCCAGCAAATTTGGTATCGAGTGATTCCTGGTGAGAGGAGATCAATAGCATGCAGTTAATTTTCAAGTTGTTTATGTTGCTGCTTTTAAACCACGTTTTTTGTGATCCATGCTAATGAGTGGAATGAGGAATTTATAGATTCATAGACTAAGGTCAGAAGCGATGTCTGTTCTTAGTTAATCTGAGCTCGTGTATACACAGGCAATGGACTTTTCTGCAGGCAGCCTCTCTCTTGGAAACGTATCTAATCTCCTCTTAAAAACACCGAGTGTTGATGAGTTCGCCCCCTCCCTCGCTGGTTCTCTGTTTAATTATCCTTGCTGTTGGGAAAGTGTCTCACTTCAAGGCTGAGATGTGTAACTTGACTTTCTAGCCCTTGTAACCTGCTACGTCTTTGTCTGAGAGACTGAAAGCTTCTCCACTTGCTCCCAGTGATCAAGTCACCTCTCAGCCTTTCTTTGATAAACTCCTTAAATTTCACGTCAAAGATTTGATTTGCAACCCGGGGTCATTTTTGCAGCTTCCCTTTGAACTTCTGTGGATATTTCCACATGTTGTTGCATGGACCCAAGACCTGCATTCATCTCGCCAATGCCGTATGCAGCAGCACTCTCTCTTCCCAGCTTCAACTTATTTTCATTTCAGTGTTAGGGCTCGTATTATATATCCATTGACCTTTCATCTACCGCGTTGCGATGAGAGCTCGTGTTGTGTAGCTCTGAGTGGCCTCCTTTATGTCCTCCTCTGAGTGCCTGACTTTCTAAGGGGAGCAGGGCTGCTATGCAGGTACAGCCTGCGATTGTGCTTCCTCCATGTATTACTTTGCATTTAAAATACTGCTGCTAGCTTGAGACCGTCTAACTGAGACATGGAGATAACTGGCTAAAATAGCTCCTTCTGTAATATTTTTTAGCTACCAAGTGTTATGCCACCTGCAGCCTTTACCCGGAGAGGTTTTCTGTTACCTGGATTGTTGGTAGATATATTAAATTGCATTGAAGAAGAATCAATGCTTGCTACCGGTGGCCTTGCTCAATGATATCTTCTCATTAACAACTACATTTTGAGATCTGTCAGTGAAGCAGATTTAATCTCTCTAACGTGTGCCTTGTTAATTCCATATAATACCAGCCAAATACCTTTGAGAAACCGCAGTATATTATAGCATCACAGTTGTCTTTAGCAGCCAGGTGTGTTTTATTAAAAACCAAAACAAAGAACCCAATTTCCCCCCAAAAATGCAAAAGACAACAGGTTGGTTTAACAAGACCAATATTCCAGGAAAGCGCATTGATTGCTCTTCATTATATTATTAGCATCAAGTTATTCGTTGATGAAATCCCAAATTAACCACTCTGGTATTTTGCAGAGGACCCAACATGAGGCTAAGTGAGCCCACTTAGCCTGATGTTGGTACTTTGCAAAATTAATTGCTGCACTAAAATTCTCCCTTTCACCTTTCAAAATATGGAAACACTTTGGCAGTGCCCTGATCCATCCTGAACTGTAACAGTTATTAAAAATCAACATTAGTGGTTTGATCAGCTTCTCAGCAAAGTCTCTAAAGACGCCTGCGTCTAAGACGGCCGGGTTGCCTGATTTGAGCACTTAATTTCTGAGTTCACATCTTTCCTTGCTGTCAACAGTGACCGCTTTTGGTCCCTCACAGCAGAATATGGAACCAAACCTTCTTGCTCCCTTCCAAATACAGATGAGAAATATCCATCCGATCAGTCTGTGTTACAGTTTGCTACCTCATCAGCCTCATCAGCAATGGTTTTATAACTGATTAAAATTACAAATTTGATCCCAAAAGGTTTAAAGTGCCTTTCTTTTTACTCCTATTAGCCCTTAGTACTTCACTGGTTCCCTCAGCCTCCTGCAGCACACAGCAGCCAGTTTTTAACCTATTTGTTACTGCTAACCTCCCATTTTCCCTCTTTCCATACATACCGATTTATTTAGTTTTTGTCATAGGTTTTACATCTTCTTTTGGCTGAAACATTTTTCCTTGACCATTTCCCAGCACACTTAAGAATTTTTGAAATTGTGCCTTTTTTGGCATCCCCTTGGGATGTGCTGAACTCTTCCTTTTTTCGGTGACTATCCCACTATAAATGTATGTTTCCAGTGCACTATTGCTTTAGGCTTTAGAAAAAGTGTCATTTAAAAGTTTGAGGTTACTTTTTACTGACGGGTGTCATATTCTACTTAAGCAAAGCCAGTTTATTACGGTGCCTAATATTTAGGTCACCGGTTTACTCTCCTTGGTCCATCACAGGGTCTCCCACTGGATTGCCTCTGCAGGATGCAGAGCAAAGCATCACTTCACGTTAGAAACCCTGGGAAGCATCTGGTGAGATGCTCAGCCAACAGCCCCTAGTTGAAATCACCCATGCAATTTCTTTTGTAGTGTATTCCAGATACTTAATTAACAGATTTTTGTTATGTTTTACAAAAGAGAGATGTTCAAAGAGCAGTTCATCCCTCTCTGTGGGAAAATACAGGAATGCATCAAATGTGTAAGTCCCTCGTGTTTCATTTTACTGGTTAGCGCTCTAATCCTGAGCTGCATCGTACCCTTTATTTCTGGTTTTCAGGAGAAAAATATCATTAGCAGCTGCCTGAGCACTGCAGGCTCCTCCTCATCCCGCTTAGCCTCCTGCTAGAGTGGCAGGACAAGGAAGACCTGTCTTTAGCACAAGACGCACACAGCCGTGGCCACCCGGGATGGAGCCGGCTGCTCGCACCCCTTTACTTACAACAAAATATGCTTCAGCAGCCAAGAGAGGGCGCTCCTTAAATTAATAAAAGAAAGGGGAAAAAAAGGAGAAAACCAGAAAGAAACAGCAAAAAGAGATAAACTAAGCATGCTTTCTTAAAAAGGAATTTTCTCAGCTGCACCAAAGCGAAAGGTTAAATGCAACAAGTTAAAACACGGAGGTGTTTTTCAACGGTAGGATCGGGGCTAGGGACACCCCTGGTGCAAGGAGCAGAGCTGTTGGCTGAATGTTTGGGAGATGCGGGTCCATTGTGGGCCCAGCTGCTGCCCCATCGCTGCTATTCCTCCCACCCCAGCCAGTGTTTTGCCTGGGCACTTGCCCGGCACAACCCCTCCGCCCTGGCTTTGCTCAGTGCCTCAAGACGCTGCTGCATCGGACATCAATAAAAAACCCTCACCCAGCGCCCGCGACAGCGTTCGCAGACCAGTGATGGCTTTTCCCTGTGAAACCGATCGCTCAGCCAGTCCCCAGCACGGGGATCTGCTCTGCGAGGGGCTGGCGCTGTATAAAGCCTGAAACAAGCCCGTCTTTCTGTAACAGCCACGTACTTTTTAAAAGGCCTTTTAAGTTCTGCCAGTACCTGCAATGGGTGCCAAGTTTTATTTTTGTCAGCCAATTTGGGAAGTTTGTTAAACCTGTGACCGGGATCGGGGAAGCGAGCCCAAAAAGCAATCAAAAGCATGTAATAAATAATAATTAATATCAGTGTGTGGTGCTTACTCAGTATTTTTTTTCTTTTAAGGATCTTTTAGCTAGTTAGTAAAAACATGTTCCACATTATGGTAGTCTTTCCTGCAGCAGGTATTTATCATGCTCCAGTTACACATGGCAAACTGAGGAAAACAGCGTTCCTGTAGTCACCGGAGGAGCCCAACACACGTCCCTCCCCACGATCCATTGCGCCTGAACGTGAGGAGACACATGAACCATAGTAGGGTCCTGGATGTGCACTTTGGGAAATGCTGTGTCCCTGAACACGTACAAAAAAGAGATGAGGAAACCCCCCCACACACCTCCATTCCCCTCTCCCCTTCACTGTTAGGTTGTATTAGCTTATTTATCAGCAGAAAATGTTAAAGCACCGGTAATTCAGTTTTAATGGTTTTTCTCACCTGCAGAACTGCCTGGAGTGGTTCATGTTGGGACCTGCTTTAATATTGCCTTTCTCTGGGTCATAGATGGTGGTTGCTCGTGCATAAGCTCCTCCAAGAATAAAGATGAACCCATTGAGAGTGACTGCAGGAGCATATTTGTTATCTGTCAATGGAAAGCAACACTGAGATCAGTTTTAGGCTCAGGTTTGGAGACTGGTTTTTTATTTATACATTCCCCTTATTTACAGATAAGTCACGTTTCTCTAAACCTCCAAGGCTAGAGAAAGAAAAATGAGGAAACCTTTCCTGGTTTTGTTCTCCTCTCTCCAAGTTCTCAAAGGCACTTTTAAAGTTCACCAGTCCTTCATCCCCCAGTACACACCTCCCTCTAAACTGGTAAAGTACAACTGTCCCCTCCTCAAGCCTAATGGAGTCACTGTGAAAGCTCCACTCTTACATATGAAATTAAGATGTCAAGTTGTTTCAGAATTTTGAATTGCTGCAAGTTTTAACTCGGATGCTTCCCATGCTTGTGCAGCAGCTAAGTTCAGAAGAAACTCACAGTGCAGAGACCCGCTTAGTAATATCCAATAGTTGATTCTCTTTTGTATTCTGCTTTTGCTTGTGGGAAGGTCACCCACATAATCCAAAAGATTTTCTGAGACCCGATTTTTTTTTTTGCCTTCATCTGTCTCATAAATTCACCTGCATTTTTATTTTCAGATGTGTGTACACCTCCAAGCACTCCTGTATTTTAGCAACAAACTGTGTGAGGTTGCAGTTTGAAATTAAGCAAGTCCCTTATCCTAAGTCAAGTTCAATCAGAGTTTCTAAGGATGCTTGAAAATTCTTGTGTTAGCTGTGGCATTATTAGAAATATTGGTAAAACTAACCATAAATTATTGAATAAAATAATTCTAATTTAATTAGTTGACTCGTCCCGTATGCTGCTAGCACGCCATATGCACATTATTAAATATGAGCCAGTTGAGCTGAAATTTCTCATGATGGTGTCTGTCTTGATGCGATACAGTTTTTTTTAATCCACATTTCAGTGAAACCAACAGGCAATGTCTGGGAACAAAAGACGGGAAAATACATTGCTTTATTTGAGTTAAAATAAGCCTCACAACCAGCTCTCTAAGAAGCAAGAGCCTAAGCCCTTTGGGGGCCTTCACGCATCTGCGTGAAGCAGATGTTTCCTGAGTGGCTACCTTGGTGTGAGGGGACACTTCCGTGAAGCAGATGTTTCCTGGGTGGCTACCTTGGTGTGAGGGGACACTTCTATAAAAACTATCCATGTGTAGCTATATGTTAAAGCCTCTCCAAAATCTGCATTTTTATATGCTCAGAAAAGCGTGATCCTCTTGCATCTCCAGTGGAGAATCAGCCTGGACACAGTCCTGCCAGCTTCAGCCCCTGCAACCCTCCTCCTCCCGAGTGCGGGGGGTCAGGGCCAGCATGCTGGAGAGGGGGTACGATATCATCTTTACCACGTTCTTACTTCTCTGCTAACAGCCTCTACATAACGTTGAAGGGGTCTATATGTTCCTCCCAGATCTGTAACACTATGACTCTGTCCTTTTCGGAACACAGAAAGAGATGGGCTTAAACTAGCCCCAGCAGCTGTAGTTTTGGCATTTGCTTACCTCTTGCACGGTTGGTGTGGCAACCCTGAGGTTCTTGTAAAACCACCTTACACCACTAAATATTTAACAAGAGATTTAATTTGACAAAAGCTGATGAATTTATCCAGAAGAGAGATAATTTCCTTAACTGGGGTTTGAACTGGTTAAACTAGAAGGAAAATAGAAGGTTTGTGTTGTTTGCTTCTGTTCCAGCACGGCCATGGGGTGGTCTGGCTCAGTTCATCTCACCCTACGTTGGTGCGTGCCCAGGGGGACGTACAGGGGTGCAGCACCCGGTGTGAAAACAGACAAAAGATGTTATGGCTTAAAGTTGGGCTCCTATTATGCTGAGTATCTAGAGGCATATGTCAAAAAAACACGGACGTATTAGGAAAATGTCACTGATCCTTGGGAACAGATGGGAAGAAACTAATTCATCCAGAAAATAGAACAAGGAGTATTCAGTTTCTTCTCGGTGCCACTAAGTCACTATAATTCATCAGAAAGACTTATCTGTCCTAACAACCCGTCTCACATCCCTTTCCAAATCAGACTTGCATATGTGACATTTTTTCCAGTTAAGACACTCATCAGAAATTTTCTATATTTAATTATCACATCTTCCTGTTTTTTTTTCTTTGACTAGCACTATTTTGCAGGAGAACGAAACTCTTGCATAAAAAAAAGAACTCAGCTCCCAAATCTCACAAGGAAATTATTTGGGGCTCCCTCAAGGCAGAAACAGCGACTTCTCAGGAGACTTGAATCACTGACTTCACATTCCTTTTTGTTAAAGAAAGAGAGGGAAACCCCTTGGTTATTTTTATAGTGACTTTTTTTTTCTTTTCAAATAGGCAGTCTGATATTCTTTTTCTTTCTTTTTTTAAGAGGCAATCGTGTTTGATTCTCATAAATTTTTCAATACATCACCTATCTGTTGTCTTTTTACTGCTTTTGGCTTTAGCTACAATTTCATAAATTGGTATAAAGTAAGCCTGAGATAGAGAAACAGAGAAATCTCTGCTGTTTCTTTCAGGAAGGGAGAAGTTCACAGCAAACAGTCTCCTGATCCTCATGAAGATATGGCAGAAAGACACGAGGGACACCCCTCCAGAGACAGGTAGAGAGGAGAGCGGGTTTTATTTTTGTTTTGTTACCATGGAGGCAGAAACTGTTCACGGATACAGGGAGCTTGGAAAACTCAAGCCGTCATTCCTGCTACCTAGGTGTGGGTGACCACCTTCAGTCTTTAACCTTACTTCATCCTAGGTGCTACCCACAGCCTTCCCTTGTTGTTGTCCTTTCCAGGGCTTGGGTAACCTCATGCAAACAGGAGACTCCAACTTCTGTCACTGCTGGAAGTCCTTAACATGCTCACAGTCCAAGGTGGTTGGGGAGCCTAATTTTGCAAAAGCATGTTCTGGTTGGGCTTTCTGGTCAACGCATGGGGCAATGCTCATGGGCATGAACATGAGCTCCTGTGGGTCAGAGGCTTACCGTGCGATACAGCAGGGACACTGGTTATTTCAAAAGCCTGCTGAAGAGAAGGAAGAAAGGGGAGAGGAAGCATGGAAACAGAGAAACAGCCTCTTTCCCCTCCAAAATTCAAGCGTTGGGGCTATCGGATATAGTAATCTATTTTAGGCTGGAAAATCTTAAATGGGATTTGTCCAGGACAGGAAGCACACTTGAGATTAAAAGGCAGAATAAATGTAAAGGAAATAACAGATAAAAGGTATTCTTCTCTCCAAGTGTATAACATCGTAACATCATTCTCCTTTGCTGTTGCTATAGGAAAATATGCGAGTATTTCTATTCTAGTGACAGGTCATTGCGGGAAGGGGTATGCGCTCAGCGACAATCCTTGAGCCGGAGGTGTACTTCACATAGGGTTGATAATTTAACCTAGGGGTGTGCTCCTCACTTAGTAACGACAGAGTGCTGTCTGTGATGTGTTTCGTGGCTCTCGTATCTCTCGGTACATTATATGGTCAAGTAGTACAGTTCTGCTTTCCCATCCATGATTGCTTAAAGATCTTATGTTGCCTACCAGTAAAGCACTCGGTCAGAGCCTGAAGTGGAATTAAAATGAACGGCAGCAGCACTTCATATGGAAACAGGTTATTAAAACCAAGCTAGTCAAACATTTTTATCAGGAGGAAGAAATGCGGGCATGCCACCAGTCCAGATATAACTCCAACCGAAGGGCCTCCCTGCAGGCGCGGGCGGCCGGTGGGGGGGTTGATGCACATGATGAAGCGAATTGGAGAAAGGAGACTAGTTAATACAAACTAAATTTGGTTTTAATAGTAAGTGCCTCTTCCCCTCCCTGAATACTATGCAGACAAGCTCAAGAATGGCATAGTAATGGATAAGATAACATCCTGCGGCAGACAGGAGACTGGTCTGATCCTTAACATAGCTCATGAGGCCAAAGTGCAGATATTGCAATTAACAGCAGGGTCTCAGATGTCAGCCCTTCTGGCACGGTGCTGTCAGGCTAGCTGATTTCTCATAACTACACAACCGGCTGCAGGGCCCTATGGTTTCCCCAATGACCCTTGAGCAAACCCTCCTCAGAGACCCTGAAGTTGAGCGTCCTCACTTTGTGGCTGCATTTTGTGTATGTGTGGCAGGGATCACCTGTGCCAAAGCAGAAGGCTCCACCTGCCATCGTGGGGCAGTTTCAGCATCAAATTTACAGGCAAAATGTTGATGAACTGAAGACAGTTGGACAAAGCACGGCCACACAGATGAAGCGGAGGTAGGAAGTGAAAGGGAGGACATCTGATAAAGGGCAAACACAAAAATACTAACTTTTCTGGGTAGAGGGCAGAGTAAGTATGTGTAGGGGGAACGCATCAAGGAGTGGAAAAAACTATTCTGAATGGAGGATATGGCATATACAGAGGAGAAATGGGTGAGACAAAGGAAAGTAAAATTCAAGCTTACTACTGGGAAAAACCCTAAGAACTAGTCACGGGAAGAAAAAATACGTTGAAGGATTAAATGAAACACTCATTTTTTTGAAACTTCTAGGTGAGAGCCGGCCAAACCCACACACGGGTACCAAACTACTGGCCTTGGGGAGAGGGCCAAGACATATATCTGATTTTTCTTGTAAAGTCCAAAAATAAATTCATGGGAATCATTATGCATTTTAACCAAAATAAGCCATGGGACAGTGCAGTAAAAATGCACAGATGCTGCTAACACTGTTTTCCACATATTTCTTACAATCTTAGCTCTCTGATTGTCCCACTTTGGTCGGACATATCACTGCAGGAGTAAATGGTATGGTGAGGAACTAGATACTTGGATTAGAAACCAGAAATGCTCATAGATCTTTGACCTCTGTGTTCCCATAGTTCTCACCAGATTTTAAGATTTAGTAGTGGTGATGATTAAACACTGGTTTTCTTACAATCCAGAAACATTAATAAAAACCTGTAATGCCACCAGTACAGACACTGGCTGTTCAGGGTATCAAAAAAGGTATATTTTAGTGCCCTGGCATGAAGGCACAAAGTGAACTAAAAGGCAGTGACAAGATAATTAGGCTTACTTACAATCACTGACTTCAGCATGTCTATGGCCATCTTGTTAAATAAGACAAACCTCAGGAGGCTGGGCATGAAATACATTTTTAGCAGAGCTATATAGGACAGCCTGGCAAGAAATGGAAAGGCAGGTGCTGCAAGTATGTAGCCGGGGTTCATCTACTGTTGTAGGACTTTGGCTCGACAGCAGCAAACTTCTTACAGCTCAAAACACAAGAAGGGGATATGCAAGGTGGTTTACCAAAAATACGCAATGTGAAAGCCCTGGGAGGCTCCATTACCCCAGTAACATCAAGCTGTGGGCTGCGCTGCTGCAGGAACATCTGCCAACTCCAAAGGTGGGGAGGACAGACGCAGGGCAAAGGATGGGGCACTAAGAAAGACCCTCTCCTCTCCAAACATGGATGTGTGTAATCACCACCTACCCAAAGGCTACCACAGCACCCACGTGCAACGTGTTGCTGAGTGTCATACCTACTGCACGCAGACATCCATGTCCCAACACCTCCTGGCAGATGAAGGCTAAAGAATAAATGGAAACTGGGAGTGAATTCGCTGCTTATTCCTAGAAGAAATCCAGGCAGAAGAAAGCAGGGCTGAGCTGCGTGGACTTACTATCAGTCCCCACTCCGTATCTCCTCTGCACAGGCAGGATGACAGGATCCAGCCTGCTTCACCTCCATTCAGATTAGCCAAAAAATGACCCTCCCCCTTGCCTTAGTTGATGGCAGTGTTGCCTTGGGTTAGGTGGGCACACGACACTTTGGAAGAGATGGACCTGTTGGGTTCAAACGTGTGCCATGCTGTGTTCAATGCAGTATCATAAAATACCACAATGACTTGAGACAGGTACTACTGGTCTAAAAATCTCCAGAGACCTTGGACATCTGTTGCATATCTGAGCATGCTTGAGGTGTTTTTAAATAAACCATTGTCCTATTTGAAGTCTAACAGGTTTCACTGATCTCTGGGGTGACCTTAACCAACACAACTCGCCGTCAGATGTCTCAGTTGACTTATCTCAGAGGGACACCTTAAGAATTCACAAATTAACACAAAAAGGCTCCGAGGCTGTCAAAGTCACCCCAGCAGTGATAATATCAGGGTTTATCTCAGCTCCATTTTGTAAAAAGCACCCCAAGACTCCTTCTACTCCCTCTTTGTTTTAGATAAATGTTGACTGTACCACACTTGGCATAGCATCCAGTTCTTGGGGGATACTTTACAAATACAGGTGATACTACGGTTCTTGTAGAGCTGGTAAAATTAAAGTATATTTCCAGTATTCCCACTGCCTTTTAGTGAAGATCAAGCATCACATCAATTCAGTTTCCCAGACGTTCTCCACTGGGGTGCAATTTTTCAGGCTCTGTGTTATTTTACTTTATTTGCAAATAAATTGACGTTATACATTTCCCAACAAAGACACACAGCAACTCTGCATTTCATCATATATTTTATGCCTTCAGCTTAACTAATTAACTTCACTTTCACCAAGAAAACATAAATATCATCTTTTAACTTCACCGGTGTCTTTCATGTATTTTTGTTAGGAAATAATAGTACACGCCCATTAGCACAGTGGGTGACGAACCCAACTCTGGATGGTTTGGATGATTTTTTCCAAGCACGCATGGTGTTGATGCCTGCTAGACAGTATGGCGAGCCCAGGGAATGATTTCTTAGCCCCTGTGGCACTTGTACTATTTTGGTAAGGAAAAGGAATACCTCTTTGCATAATGCATTCATTTTTGCAATATGCTGTGAGTACAGGAAAATCTCATGCTGTCAGTCAGTGGATTAAAGGAACAGCAGCAGCTGTAGCCATGTGATGGAAAAAGCCAGGCAATAGGGTTATTTGCACTGCTGTATTACATAAACATGACTTTTGCCGGTTAACGCCCTCCCGCTGGGCGCTTCATGCTGCATCATATGCATGTCATGTTATGTTAGGCTGGACACAAACAGCAGCAAGGCAGTCGGAAAGCAGCAGCTCTGCCTGCACAGGGGAGGCTACAGCCATGGCTCTACCAGCTCCTCATGATGTGATCTACTAGGGAACCCCAAGAAAAGAGTCATAGTAATTGTTACAAGCTACAATAAAAAGAGCAGCTTATTTTAGCTTTCTGAATATGCTTAGGCCTTACCTGAATACCTTATAAATATGCTTCTATAATTTACTACTTGCTACTCCTATTGCTCTACCAGGCTCAATACTGAGACTGATTTTTTTTAACCGAAGCACCTCATGTCACAGTTTCAACACAACCAAGAGGTTTAGGATGGTGAAACACTGGCACAGGTTGCCCCGAGAGGTGGTGGATGCCCCATCCCTGGAAACATTCAA